TCCTTAGTAATAATTTATCAGGAAAGGGAATTTCAGAAAAGCACAGTGCAGTTTTTTGTAGTTTAACTTTTGCTACTGGAATAAAGTAAATCATTAACTCATCATGCAAGACACACATTATTCTGCCTCCTGCACCCCCAAAGGGCCTCCTTCCCCAGCTGCTGCTCAGGCTACTGACCTTGCCACTGGGCACAGAACAGGGACCATCACACCAATTTCACAGTTATATGCCATGGTCCCATGAGTGCTGGGGGAGGTGACAGCACAGGGGGTGGCAGGACAGTGTCAGTAAAGCCCCACTAGAAAGTTCCATGCCAGACAATAGGGTTATGCCAGTTACCCAAACTTAACTAAACTCAATCCAGCAGAATAAACAGCTCTCTCAAGAGCAGACTGCAGTTACTAATCTTTTCCCCTCCTACAAGAGTTTCTCTATGCTGTTTGTAAGTCTCAGGAATTATATATTAACTTACCACTGTAAACGGAAGCAAGTAAGAAAATGAAATAAAAAGTCCGATAAATCCAATTCATCCTAAAAACCACAAAATCATTCTTTAGGATATGGTCAATAAAGGGTGTGTAATTAGTTTTATTAAGCACTGCTAAGCCTAACACTGATTTACACTTGTACTGTTTCACCATTAATTAAAAATTACATAGAAAATTACAATTGCAGCTGTGACAGGCGGTTTTGGCATACCTTTTAACAGCAGAATATTCATTCCTGCTTAGACTGGGAACAATATTCCACTGAAATGACATTACTAATACTGACTCTCCAGGTAGTTTAGTAAATACAGTTATCAAGCTAGCAACTTGAACACTCACTGCTTCATATGCTATAAGAATTCTAAGATTTATTTCACATGCAACAACTTAATCTGTGACATAGGTTAACCACAAAATACAATCCATGAAAACTCCGACTTGCACTGTCTTGTTGCTATGAAAACCTTTCACTGAATACCAGTGCATTATTGCAATAATGATTACATACCTGAACACATAATAAGTCTGGATGCATGCATCAGGTTTGCACTCTACTAAAACAAAAAAAAAAAGTCAAAACTTTGTGTTAAATATTACTTCCTGCAATGCTAACTCATCTTTAATGTTTACTTTGAACGGGTACTGTTTTTGTCAATACTGCTACTGACCTTGGGACACATCTGTCATCCACACTGCACTGGAATTGATCCTGTATAACCACACATATGCAACATAGTCTCTCTTTTCTCCCCTATAAAATTATGATAATATTTCAAAACTCCCGGATAAATTTTCACCTCTATATCAAATTACGGAATTTTCATTGTTCCTGGATACAATCACAAAATCTACCTGTATTTGAATATTTACAAACAAAGTATGCTGAACTGACCATTTTTTTGTGTTGCTTAACATATATTAGTATTCAAATAAAATAATTGTTTTGCTTGTGTATGTGTGTGCACATTTCAATTGGTGGCACAAACAGGTTAGAACTTTTGTCCAAGAAATTAGTTTCTTCAATTTTCACTTCTTATCTGGGCTTTCCTATTCAGATATTGGGCAGTTATTCTAGTTTGTTACTGCTCTAATAAAAACACAAGCAAAAAACAAGAAAACAAAAAACCCCAAGAAAACAAAAACAAAAACAAACCAAACCAACAAACAAAAGAATCTCTAATCATGCACTTTTGGAAAAATTTTACCAAGAACATGTGTGTCATTCATGCAACATGTAGTCATACCCACATTCATCAGAAGCTTCTGTAACATTTCATTTTTATAATCCATTGTCTATATTTTAGATTTTTGTCTGAGGAAGGGGCATCTTCTGCTGATGGGTGTTTCAGAAGAAAACTACTGAGGAATGAAAAAAAAAAAGGAAGAAAAAATATTTCCTTAAAGCAGTAGTTCTCAAATTTAGGCATCAGTCTTTCTAAAACCAGTCATTTTAATTGCATCTGTAAGGGCATCAGTTGGATTTGATGGTGAAGTTCAGAAATAAGGCAGAAATGCTGTTCAAAGAGAATCACAATGAGCATGATCACTTTGGAAAATAAATGCATTTTCTTTCACTGGACCTGCTACTCACATGATTTACCCCCATTTGCACTGCTGTGCTGTTGCTCAAATGAACAAAGTTGTTCTTGTGTACAGAGAAAAAATGTATTATGGACTCTATGATGATGAGTGAGTTATTGCTTCTTATAGGACATATTTATTATAGAAAAATTATAAAATAAATTGAGACAAATTCTCCGCTGGTATACGTTTCCTGAGCCTCTCTGAAATCCAGAGATTATATGATTTAAACTAGGAGAAGAGACAGAAATTTAAAGTGCATAGAATGCCAAAATCATCTAATGCTTCTTAGGTCATATGGGCTCAACACATAAGTTTACTATTGGTCTTAAGTCCCTCATTGTATCAATTTAGCTGTCCATATTCTAAATGTTAGCTATATCAGGATCTTGCATGTAGGGTTCAGTAATTCAGATAGCAGAAATAAAAGAATAGTTCATCAAAGCATTTTTATAAATGGAAACATTTTTGATGATCAAAGTTCAAAATTTATTTGAATAATCTACAATACAATTAAGAGTTTTCTTCTGTTTGACTCTGCTTCATTTTGACTTGGTAGTTACAAAACCAAAACCTGCTGCAGCCTAAGCCAGTTCTTCAGGATGACATGTCCCTGGCAGTGCACTTGCTTAATACTGCTTTCTGCTGATTTCCACTGTGATCCATGCACAAATCTCCTGCAAAGGTGGCAGGAATTACTGAAATGTTTCACCTCAGGAAATAAATTACTGGATTCTAACCTGATTTAGGTCTAATTCTGCCTGGCAGAACCAAATCCCACATTTCTTATGGCAGTCCTATTCAAAAAACAGCTTCAACATGGAAGAGGATTTACTCTCTGTGATGAGACAACACCTGCTGGTTGTGATGTGGATCAAGAGGAGAAGTTTCTCAGAGGAAATTAGGGAAGGAAGGCACCAGTATGGTAGGAAAAACCCAAATTTTCATTTTGATTTGCCTTTGTGCACACCCTTTCCATTTGAATGAGGATACCATAATAATTTCATGAACTTGAATGCTCCAGCAGGTAAAAAAACAACCAACCAAAAATATTCTGAACAACTTCATGGCTATCATTATGTATATGACAAAGGAGATAGAGAAATAAAATATCAAATGCTGCTAAAACAAACCCTAAATCTAAATCTCAATCTTTTCTTCTTACAATCAACAATCTAGAGCCTTTTCATCTGAGTCAGGATGCCACTATCTGAGTGAAGAATCTACTGTTTCACTAGGGCAGAACTTTCTGTTTGACTTGATACCACCTCAAATGGCAAAAAGATGGATAGAATAATTTACTGATTTGTGAATGGTGCAGCATTGTGTATTGTATCAGATTAAAACCAGTTTACTAGTTCCATATGCCGAAATTACACGTCAACAATAATCTTCCTTGAAATAGAGCCCAGAAAACACTGCAAATCAGATGTCAAATAAGAAATCAATGCAAACAAAATTCAGGATCGTATTAAATGAAATAGAAGACAGTTGCAAATATCAAACAACAAATAGCTACTGGGTTTGTTATTTCAGAAGTCCTCTGTGATTTTTTTCAGATTTTCCATTTTTTTAAATAAATGGAGAATCACATTACTGCCCGAGGCCTTCCCTTTTGAACCTATAGCACCTGATGCTGGTTATTGTTAGGTATTAGAGAAGACAGGATGTTTCAACATACACTGAAGGGCCCCAGTATCTTGATCAAGGCCTGTAAACTGCCAAACAGTAATTCTTGGGCAAGTTGTATGTTGTATGTCAATTACTAGCCTGGAATGAGGTCATTTGGGCATACAACAAATGCTGAGTCTTTTGCTAACTGATAACTTTTGCCTTTCTTTGATCAAAATATTTTTCAATTTCAATGAACACTTAATATCTCCACAAGTTATACTCCAGGCATCAAATAGAAAAGTCCATTTGTTGAACAAAAGATAGAGTTTTTCTCAGCAGACTGTAACCAAGAGACTCTCGTTTTCAGAAGCATCTCAGATGTATGCAGTTTTTTGGTTTAGAAAGTGAGTTAATTTAGTTTTTAATCTTTTAATCCATGCAGATCTTGAAGGTCATCTTCGAAATATGACCTGACTATAAACTGAGAGGCTCCTATCCTGGGGAGTTTTGTCCAGGTGTGACACAAATACTCCTTTAGGAAGAAAATTGGAGTAGGATTCTCTGACTCTTTTAGCTGCTGGAAAAGAAGATGACACATGAGATCAAACATGGCAAAATTATTTGTTTGTAGCAGCATACTAACATTTATACATCAGGATTTTGTCTTTTACAGCCTAAGGATTAAATTCAGGAAGGCAGGTGGTTATCTAGTGTGCACCACTATTCCACCTCCTGCATGTGTCCAAAACATGCAGCTTTCAGAGACCAAAAAGCAGTTTGTATAAAGGTGGCTGGGAAATTCTAGTGCCTCAGGGCACCTACAAGTGCTCTCAAGCAGAACTTCCCAACAGAGGGAGGTCACACCTTGTCTGTTTTCAGTGTTCCTTGGAACAGCAGTAAACCATGATCCAGAAACACTCACACATTGCATTTCTGTCATCCCAGCAGAAAGTCATGTCCTTTCTGACACCACACAAAAGGAATCTTAACAGACAGTGTAATCTTTTGGTTTAGAGATCAGCTGCTACCTTAATACCACAGCAGATACCTACAACTCTGGAAAAAGATCACAAACAGCTACCATGCACTTGCAGTTTTTATTACACAATATTTTATTGTCCCATTATTTTATCAGGAAACCTGCAATGCCATGCTGCATGCCAGTCTTACAGGAACAACCCCCCAAATGAAACCTCAAATCAACAGTCAAACAAAAAAAACCCACACAAAACTAACAAACAAACCCCCACATCCAGAGGATTGCTGCTGACCTGCACAGAGGCATGCAATATCAACAGGTACCATTTCAGTCCACATTGAGGCATGGTATGAGTTTATTCTCAAAATTTGTAATAATACATTGCTTTTGTCATTATGAAATCCTGTATGTAATTTGCATAAGGTCTAGTTCCTGCTATGGTTAATGCTTTTGGTACAGTTTGCTAAAAAATAATTCAGACCACTCCCTTCTTACAAACTACTTTAAATGCTTCCAAGAAGGAGCGAAATGATCACAGATTTTTGTGTGGTCTTTACAGAGGCAATCATCACCAAAAAAAAAAAAAAAATTATGCAAAGAAGAAGGATTATCACTTGTATTTTTCAGAAAAAAAGAAACCTGAAAACCTTACAAACACTTGAGACTTCCCAGTTACTTGGAAAATGCTATGGCATGTAAGCTGATCACTTCATCACAGGCATTGCTGCTGTTATTACCATAGCTTAGTTTTTATGGCACTGTGGCAATAGAATAGTTTCATCTGAGCAGATAAGGCACTAAAATTTAAGGATTAAAGGCTTGCATTTCAAAGATTAACATGAAGTTCACAAGCAGTATAAAAGTAGAGCAACTAGGGCTATTACTGCATCTTCTGTAATAAAACAATAGCAACTAGTTTTAACAAATTTCTGGACTGACATCAAAATATTTGTATTTAAAATATGTCTCAGCCTAAATAGACTGAAAACTTTTGGAAGTAAACTCTTGAAATTCCTTTCATTCTGATCCAGTATTTGGTCTCCTAGACTTCAGTTTAATCCAGATGCCTTTATTTGGACGAAGAATCAATTCTCCACATAAACCAAGCTCTTCTGGCTTTTGACACGATTCCACCCAAAAGCGCCGCAGGATGAGAGCTAGAAGAGTTTTCTCCTCCATTTGTGCAAAGCGCTGACCTATGAGTTACAGGGCAGGAAAAAAATTAGTTATTGTCAAGTTGCATCAACAGCTGCTGCACTTGCATGCTCACAGGACTTAAGAACAGAACTAGCTTTAGGCCAAAATCAAGGTCATATGGATACAAGTTACACTAGCACTTTTCTCTGCATGAAAACTCTGGCCTTCTTGGGACAATCCACAGTCCGTCCTCCTTCCCATAGTACACAGAACTCAAACAGCAACATGTAGTACTTCCATATGAAGTCAACCCTTCATATGGAACTACTACAAAACACAGCCTAGTCACGTCTCTTGAAAGGACTGGACAGGAGGGATGGATAGCAGACCAGAGCAGAAGATGCAGCACAGGCTCTGTGGGGAGAGAAAAATCTCATGGTTCTATATATGTGGAGAGGAGCAAAGGAGATGCAACTGCAATAGAATGACAGACAGACCTTCCACTGATTCCTTCAGTGATCATTAAGCCTCATACACACTGATGATTTGGTAACACAGAGGGCAAAGTTCAATTTACAATCCAGAGATAGGTGAAGGCAGAAACATGAGAACAGAAAAACGTGAGGGAAACCAAATCAAGTGGCACAAGGCAGTTCACAAAAACTAAAAAATGGAGATGGGACACAAAATACAGGGCTGAGAGCTTTTTATGTTCTCCCCTTTGTATTATATACACAGAAGTCTGTACATATGTACACACTATGCACTTTTGCAATTATAGTAATGAACCACCTCTCCTGCACATGTTCCTGCACACTCAGGAACTAGCTAGACATGTTATATTAAATTAGATTAAATTAAATTTCTCTTTGGAACAAGGAAAGACCTAGTTTACTGCTCTCATGGAAAAGGGCACTTACTACCACTGAGACAAATCAAAACAAACCAATTGTATCTCCCAAAACCAGAAACCAAAACAAACAAAGAAAACCAAAAAAACCAAAAGAAGTAATATTTCCCATTATCGTAACAGCATGACAACTTTTGGACATTCTGCATCTGCACTTAAAATCAGCGCAGGGAACAGTCTTTTCACATGTTCTATAATATAAACAACACTGCCTCTACTTGAAGCACAGATAAATGCCAAGCACCTCAGTGGCATCTGAAAGTGCTGACGAGTTCTGGGATGACAGAGAAGACACCAAATCAACTACAGTGTCAGAAATAGGGAAAGAATACATCAGTTGCAGATTGCATGCTTTGGACATCCAGCTCAGAACCTGAGAGAGACAAATGAACTGTTTCCAGAGCAAAACAGGTGTGGGACATGTGTCTTCTCTCATTCTGTGTTGCTGATTGCTGATACTGAGAATCAGAAATTAGGAAGCAATCATGTCCTAACACAGGAGCCCAAAAGCATGCTGCCAGGCTGCACAGCAGTGAGGAAGAAACATCAGTAGGATAGACACTTGTCCCTAGGAAGAAAGGAAATGCCTCAGAAGAAACAAATGGGGTAGCTCAACAGCATTAATATGAGTCTATGAACTAAACTCTTCTGAGAGAATTCAGGTCTATCTAATGGAAGTGTGTGGCTTGCAGGACATGCAGTGCCCAGATTCAGAGGTGGGGAATGAGGAAGAACACTATACAAACAGTACTCATTGCTGTCTCAGTTACCACATTCAAAAGCAGAACCTTACAAGGGCTTCCTCTCCAGATACATACCAATGCAGTTCCTGGGACCAGCTGAGAAGGGCACATAAGCATATGGGTGCCTTCCCTTAGAATTTTCAGGGAAGAATCGCTCAGGCCTGAACTCCTCCGGATCAGGGAAGACCTCAGGGTCTCTATGCAGGGCATAAGTTAAAACGAGGACGTTTGCACCTCTTGGTATCTGATATCCTCCTAAAGAGAGGAGAGAAGGGGAGAAGAAGAGTCAAAACAAAAACCAACAAGTGACTTCCTATACACAACAGAACAGTAAAAAATAAAACAATGCTGTCCTTTTCTTGGGAAACATCTCCACTGCAGAAATGCTAACAGAAGAGAAAAGTGGCAAAGACAGAACATCACTTACTAATGCAGCAATCCTCTCTCAAGGAACGAGCAAACATGGGAACTGAAGGGTAGAGACGAAGAGCTTCTTTCACAACACATTCAAGGTATCGAAGATTCTTCAAATCCTCCGTTGTAACGGGACGTTCAGTATTGTCTGTCCAAAAACAAACACAGGGATGACCAAGACCAAAACTCCCCATCTTTGGCTAAACAAACTCATCCTGGATCTCCCCAGAAACTCTCATCATGCACCAAGACTGCATACAAGAAGGTGTTACAAATATATTAAATATGCATATCTTGCCCCAAAGACATAAGTTTGGTTGTACACCCCAACAGACCTTCCCACACCCATCCCAAGCACCTCTAACTGCTGAAAGCTCCAGAAGGGCCACAAGGCATGCTCCTAAATCCCCTTCTACTTCTAGGCTTTGAACACATTTCCACTCACAAATGCAGCAAAACCCCAATGAAGGGGAAATGGACACTTACCAAACACCTCGTCCAATTCCCTGTGAACCTTCTTCTGAACTTCCGGATTACGTCCAAGCAAGTACAAGACCCAGTTCATAGCAGCTGCTGTTGTATCATGGCCCTACAGGTCCAGATTTACAAAGACATTCATTTCAACTCCATTCCCATGTACCAGTGGGCTTTGTAAATACTTAGGTGTGCAGTTGGTATGAAAAGTGAGACTTATCAGTCCCATCACCATGATAAAAACAGGAATCAAGAGTGAATGATTCAACTCACTATCAAGATAAAAGGTGATCCACAATTGTTCTGACAAAAGGGGAAAGTTTTGAAACAACTCAAGCAAAATCCCTTCTCTTCTGATTCTCAGGAGCTGCATGAACTATCAGTATCTACACAATGAATCAGATGTATACTCATCTTTTTGGTTACTGTCCAGTCAACATCTATGGGGGCCAGTGACTGTCACAGGAGAGATACAATGGAGACAACTTGCAACCTTTTCAAAAGTATCTAAAAATGGTTTTGTGAGACACAATACAGAAGCCATAGAAGAAAATACTTGGTTTTCTATGGGGATGGAATCAACTACTAGTTCCCAGCACTGTGGGAAGGAGAGGAAAAGAAAGCAGACACAAAACATGAACCAAAGAAGGGGCGAAAAAAAAACATAAAAAAGGGAGGAACAGAAAAGGGAAAAGTTGACCAAAAAAGAATCTTTATACTAAAAAAAGCACACTTGTGGTGAAGTTCAGGATGCTACTGTAGTACAGAAATGGCAAGATGAGAAGAGAGTTTCTCTTGGTTACAACAGTATTAATAAGATTCTATGAATTAAGCTCTTCTGAGAGAATTCAGGTCCATCTAATGGAAGTGTGCAGAAAACTTGTGGAAATCTTCAGATCCTCCCTTAGGGAATCAGACAAGAAGAAGAGCCTTGAAGATAATCAGAGGGATGGGACACATCTCCTATGAAGACAGGCTGAGAGAGTTGGAGTTTTTCAGCCTGGAGAAGACAAGGCTCTGGGAAGACCTGGCTGTGGCCTTTCAGTACTTAGAGAGGACTTACAGGACTTACACAAAAAAAAAAAAAAGAGGGAGTGTGACATTTTACATGAGCAGGTACGTATAGGAAAAGAGAGAATAATTGTAAACTAAAAGAGAAAAAAAAATAGATTAGATGTTAGGAAGAAATTTTTTACTCAGAGATTAGTGAAGAACATGCTGGCTAGAGAAGTTTTGAATGTCCTATCTCTCAAGGTGTTCAGGGACAGGTGGGATGGGGCCCTGGCAACCCACTCTAGTTGATGACATCCCTGACTATGGCAGGAGGGTTGTAATTAAATCATCTTTAAGGTCCCTTCCAACCCAAGCCATTCTAGGACAAGTTTCTACAAGATGAAGCACTGATGTACAGTGTACTACAGAACCAGAAGCCTGCAGGCAATGTAGCAAGGGAAAAAATGTGAGGAGACATGAAAAAATGCAAGTCAAAACAGTGAAACTATTTAGAGCTCTCTTCAGTGTTAATGAAGCTTGCAACAAAAGGCAAGAGCCCGTGGTCCATGTCAGCCTTTAAGTTTTCATTTCTCTCCTGCTTTCATGAGTAGACCCTGCTCACACAGGCAGAGTCTACCACATGTGCATTGTCCAAAGTTTTTCCAGGGCATACTAAGGCTTCTATCCTACCTCTGTAGAATAGAAACATTGAGATGTTCTCTAAGGGTTCCAGGGCTTAAATAACATCATGCTAAAAACAACATCCTGAACTGAGACAAGAGTCACCACCTGAAAATTCTGAATCTTGGGTTTGGAGGAAAAAAAACAAACAAAAAACTCCAGCAAATAAAACCTTCCAAAATAACAACAACAACAAAAGAACAATAAACCAATGGGTTCCTTGATTACCTCAAACATGAAAGTATCCACTTCCTCACGAATGTCCCTGTAGCTCAATTTTTTCCCTTCATCATCTGTTGCATTCAGCAGCATGTCCAGGAATGCTTTTCTCTTTTTGGAACCACTTTCTTCAGAGTTACCATCATTATCATGTTTCTTTTGCTGGGTGTTTTTAAGTTCTTCAGCTTTTTCTGCAATGACCTGAGATTAGAACCATTGCATCAGATGTGATGAATTCAGCACAAGCGCACTGTCTGCCTCATACAGTTTTGTCCTAACTTATCAAAACAACATCCATCTGTAGCACTCTATATGAGCTAGTTAGCTCAGCTGTCAACATTAGGTCATGAAATTTAACTGACTTTTTTATTAGTAGTGAATTATGACCAACCTTTCTTGCCCCAAGCAAAAGAATAAACCTTGAACAGCCTTTGTGCAATCAAGAAAATAGACAGCCAAGCTACATAAACAACTTGGGGGCCATCAAGAAGTGTAAACATAGCCAGAGTATCTGGAACACACCAATAATGAATGCCAACAGTGGTAACAGCATATGAAAAAAATCACCACAGTGTGATCACCAATAAGATCTTCTCTATCCCATCTGAGAACTAAGGAAGTATCTCACTTCCAACCTCCAAAAAACTCAGAAAACTGAAGAGAAGCCAGGGGATCCCAGAACCATGTGTCAAGGCTACACACAGTATTGCCGAACCCACTACACTAAAGCTTCCCAAATTTTCCCAAGTATGAGAGCAATGGCTGAATTTCCCTTTTTTAGGCCAAAGTACAGACCCAGTAACAGACATACATTTCTTATTGTTGCCATTGTTGTTGCAAAGTCAAAACAGAACCCTTCAATAAACTCGCATTGCTCTTAAAAACAACAAAATAATTTAAAAGGGTGTAGAGTATGCATTTCTGTTTGGAGGAATCACTGAATGGCAGAAAAAACGTACAGTTCCATGCACACACATTGTTTTCCTCATTTAACATGCATGTGTGTCACATATTGACTAATCCTTCACCTCAGTGCTTGCTCTCAGCACCTACATAGATGCAATTATTATTTATGGTCCTTTGTCATGTTCTATGATTTGGTTGTTTATATTCTTCAGTGCATCAGCCCAGCATGGGAAGAGTACAAGTGTTAAGAGCCTCTCTCATGACTCACTGCTGCAATTTCCAATAAAAGGCAGCAAGAAAAAAACCCACAATGTGGCTCATTATATGTAGCCAAAGATCAAAGATTATTTCCTTTGTCAAAGACATTGATACAATGACATCATAGGGTACATGCATTGGGAAAGCAGCCTCTCTGATACCGTCCTAATAAGAGATTTGGGAGGACAAACTTTGGTAAGAATAATGTAGGAATTATTTGGTGAGAGAAAGGGCTGTTACTTCCACAGTCTAACAAGGTGAGAGAACACTTTATTTTATGCCAAGTGAGTAATGCATGCCTAATGATTTCTGTATCAGAATGCCTCACTGCTGATGTGAGGACCAGCATGTGTTTGCTCCTCTCAGCAGTTCTGTTCTGAATAGGGGAAAATGAACACAGGCTTCAGTTTCTGAGGGCTGAAACCAGTGGCACTACCATGCAGATCCCTATGTTTACTGCTCCGAACTTGGAAGTGAGTTGTTGGACGTCATCCAGATGTGGAGCTTTTCAGGCAGAACAAGAGTTCAATGAATTTCTGTTGTTTATTTCAGTTTTCAAGGACCTGCAAGTTCTGGCACTCCCCTGGAGTAGTCTACTTTCTTGTTTAAATTCAGCAGAGATACTAAAAGGGAAGTCAGCTCTTGTCTTCTTTTCAGGGAATTCCTCAGCATCACAATAGAGAGACAGCATATCAAGGAGGCTGAACCTTATCCCCATTTGAAAGATCTGTGTGAAAAACTTTAATCCAACAATGAAAATTATCATTATAAATATTATAAGTAATTTTTTCTTTCAAAGACTCTGTACCATATCTGTAAAATTGTGAAGGATGTTGAGCTTCCTATTGTGCTCTCTTCCTACTTTGAACAACACATACAAAAAGTCAGGCCAAAGCCAAGGGCTCATCTGTCGCCGTTGGATTAGATCACCCATCCTAGGGACAAAACAATTATATCATGTAACATTACTTGACAAAAACACCAAATTATAGCACATTTCAAGAACAAACAAAAAAAACAAAACAAAACAAAAAAACCCAAAAAACAAAACAAAACTTCTATGTATCCTAATGAAGTAGAACTTAACATATTGTGTACGTTTAAACCCATTATTTGAAAGGAAGGCCATTCACATTTGTGTCTTGATTTTACACCATCTCAAAATTTCTGTCTACTTATCCCAGCCTCACCATGTTTTATTTCTTTAAGTATTGATATCTGAGAAGGACAGCATATTCTCATTTAGTCCAAATCCTCTTGAAACAGTCCTATTAAGTCATCCAATCCCATCACACCCCACTTCAGCAAAGCATTGACAGTCTTGTAAAGACTACTCAGGCCAGGCTCCCAAAATATCTGCCCCAAGAGCTCAAACAGTTTCTGAGAGTATTGCATTCCTACTTGAACGTCCAGACACCAGACTGCACATTAAAGGACTTAAAATGTATTTAAAATTAAAAATATGAGACTTCAAGTATGCTCAAACACAAGTAGAGTACATTTGGAAGGGCTGATTGTTATTGAAATTCAGCTCTTGCACATGCTTTAGCTGCAGAGTAATTATTATTGACTTCAAGCACACTTGTGCTACAATTTGGAAAAGGCCAAGGAAGTGATGATAATCAAACCTTTCAGACCTAGCCCTGTTTTTTATCATACCTGTCTCAACAAGCTCCATCAAAAGTTAAGAGTGAGATCATAGAATCACAGATGCATTTATGTTGGAAAAGACCTTGTAGATTGAGTCCAACTGTTAGCCTACTGTTAACCCAGTCTGTTGCTACACCATGATCCTATGTGCCGCAGGAACATGTCTTATCAAACACCTCCAGGGTATTTAGTGACTCAGGGTTAGTCTCTTCCAATGTTTTACATCCCTCCTTCTGACTCCCTGGCCTTCCTTTCTGACACCAGCAGCATTAATTCCAGCTCAACTGAAAAATAACTAAGGAAAATGTGCATTTACCTGTAGATAGCAGAAACATAGTCAGAATCCTTATTCTTCTGGGCACCCACATTCCTGCCCATTGCTGTTTCTAGGATGAAAACATCAACATTTCACAAGTACAAAAGTACAAAGTGAAGCAGTATACACAGTGAGTTACTACTACTCCCAGCTTCTGACTATCACCACCATCCCTTTGACAAGTGAATACACATATCCCTTTGCAGGGAATGAGCTTTCTTTGTATTTCCATGCCCAGGAATCCTGCTTCTCAAGAAAGCCTCACTTCAGACTGCTACCTCTGTCCTGCCAGTGCCAAAACTCAGCTGCTCAGTTGCAAGTAGTAAATCCTGGGGAAAAGGTTGACAAGGATGGAAATGTATTTAGAAAATATGCAGGGACATTGCTCTTCAATTATCTTACACAAACTGGCACCGCTAAACTCATGATCATCTGCATCATTCACAATTCTACCACAATAACTGAACAAGACTTACCACAAATAATATCAAGGGCACACAGAGTGATGTCCATAAAGACATTAAATGGCTCCTTGTCAACATGCTTCTCAAGTTTCTTCACCAAAATATTTCCTTGTTCATTCATGACCTCTAGAAAGTCACTCAAGATTGCAAAATGGAATGTGGGAGTTATCATCTTCCTCCGTGACCGCCACTTGTCTCCAGTGCTATAAAATTAATAGGGAGAAGGAAGGCTAAAAAACTCCAAGCCAAAAATAATATCCTCACCAATACAGGAAGTACTCAGTGAATACTGCAGCCTGGAAGAGATGGACACACTGTAGATGTCTCTTCAAGCTGTTCATAGCACCCCACAGAAGGAGCAAATGGAAATATTTCTTGCTCTAGGTCTCTTGGAAGCAGAATCCACCATTTCTCCAGCTGATCTCAACCAGTGGAGATGCCAAAAAGCCTCCAGACAGTACATCCTTGTTAGTCAGTGCACAGGCCCAGAGGGACCAAGCAGAAGCCAGCCAGAGGCCAAACCAGCTATTCAGCATCAAGGCCTCAACCACTCCACCCTCTCTCTCAATCAGTGGTTGTGCTTGCCTCCATTCACTGACCATGAAATGAGGCCTGCAGAGAACTAGGGCCTAGAGATATCATGAAAATGACTGCCTCAATGCATGGCTACAGTCTACTTACTTGGAGAAAGGCAATCACTTCCCACATGCTGGTGACAAGCATGGAGCCACAGTGAGTGTCACCAGCTTCCTGGGGGTCCCTGTTCGCTTTTTCTAAATAACATGCCCCAGCTGGCACTTCTGCTTACAGGGTAAAACTATCACACCACTGCACCTGTTAATTTGCTATTAGGGCACTCCACAGGCCAGCATATTGGCTTGCTGTCTGCCACTGCTGCCCCTAATCAGCAGAGACTGGAACATTCTCCTCCATTATGTTTGTGCAAGCACAAGAAAGTCAAAATACCTCTGTACATCTATGGAAGACAAAACAACCAGTAAGGAAGAACAGTGAGGATACACCATGCCTGATGTTCATGGACTTCGCCTCTGCACTCTGCTACTGATTAATTACTGCCTTCTTACAGGCCACGAACAAAACTCAGGATAAAATGCATGCCTTGTCCTATTCCATGAACTTGTACTTCCCACACCACATGATCACAGCTGGCTTTTACAATCCCATGGTCCCATCATAAAGCACGAGGAATCCACCTTTGAGGGCTCCAAACAAGCAACAAAGTTAACCACTAACACTGGGACCTGGACCTTTTTTCAAAAACCCAAAAGAGGCTCAAAGGTACCAAAGACAATCTATACTTACCTTGCTCTGACTATTGAATATCTGCATCATCCAGACCAATCCTTCCTTTCCCATTCCAAGACTGGAGGACACCAAGCGCTTATACTGCTGCTCCTCCCTTTCTCCACTCCTGATTTATGCTCCTACCCAGACTCATTTCTCATGATCCTCTACTTCATGAATGAAATAAAGGAAAGGGTGCACATACTCTCCGATCCTACCCCAAAGCATCGCCAACCTCAGGCCTATCCTACTGGTCTGCAATATGACCAGCTGAGATAAGCAATGCACACAATCTCTTTGTTCAGAAATACATACAGCATTCCTGCCATCAAGACCTCTTGTTATCCTATACCCTGCAAATTTCAAAAAGGTAGCAGTGCACATTCACTTCATTTTACATTATACCTTGTCAGAAGTCCAGTGCCCAGCCATGGATGTAGGAATTTGTATAGGTATGATTTTTCTATATGTTTTGAACTGTTCAGAATAGCCTGTCAGAAAAATTAACAGTGAGAAAAAAATATTACTTGTTAGATGGAGAGAGATTTCTTCACTATTTCTTCAATAAACACTCCAACAGACAAACAACACTGTCTTACTAGAACAAGGACAATCACTGTCGGCAGCAAAACTTATGACTACATTTCATGGCATCAAAACAGACTCAGTAAGTTTTAATGCAGAAGTCTGTAAAGAGACACAAGCACTGCAACCTGAATTTCATGATGTTCTATCCTTATTTCAGTGGTCCTATATTCCCTGCTATCTGCTTGTTTGTTCCAATCTTGGGAGTAGAAGCTTTCGCACATGTGAAAACCAAGCTAAAGGAGATGCTTCTTTGATGCTTTCATTTGCAGGTTATCTTCAGTATTCCCCATAATGCCCTATGACTATGCCTTTTTATATTCCTTTACTTTATGCCTTTGTTTACCACTAACTCAGAGGACTATCCCAAAGCAAATCAGTCCAAGCCCCTTTTAATAAAAATTACATTGAGTAATAGAAGTAACATGTTGAGCACTGCTCTGCATCCCAGTAGAATACACAGGAGACCAGCATACTCACCTCCACACTGTCAGGGTGATACAAAAATATGACAGGCACTGGTCCTATCCAAAGTTTGAACAGTGGCCAACTTCTGAACTTTTCAGTATAAAACTCTATCTGTTTAAAAAAATCTGGAGTAGAAAATCAGAGCACAGCTTCAACAAGGGGAATTTACAAAATAAGCAAGGCTTCTGTAATGAACTCCAGCACCCAAGCCCTGCAATTGTGATTTTCTTGTAGTTTTAACCTGCTGCTGTGACCTAGCAGCATTATTTTACACTTGTGGATTTTAAAATTCAGGTATCCTAATCTCTTTAGGCAGAGGAGAGCACCATTTATGCCACAGATCAACCTGAGGGACACCACTGCTGTCCAGCTGCCAGTTGTACTTCACACCAGTGAGCTCACCAAACCAGCAAATACTCGTCCCACATTCTTTTGCAATTATCCAGTCCATATCTTGTCCATTCAGCTAGAGAGAAAGCATGGGAGACAGCTGAATCTGCTGGCAGGGTAAGAAGAGTCAATGGTGTTTGATTTAATTCAAAAAAGTCTTTGACACTATCTCATCATAGAAGACAATCAGGTTCATTCCACAATATTAGAGTGGGGACTACTCTCAGGATGTTCAAGGATTAAACACTTTGCCCTTTCAGAAACAAGCTTAAACAACTGATACCTTTACAAGCCTCTGCAGAGTTGAAAATTCAAAGATCCCCAAATCAAAGAAAAAAAAAGAAAAAAAGATAGTTTCCTAATAGATGCCCAAATACAGCTTTCCCTAGACTTACAAAAAGTTTTAATGACACCTCATTCAACACGATTCAGTGTCAGATTATTTTACTATTTTTAAAATATTTTTCCAAACATTGCTGTGATTAAAATAGCCCATCTTCCAGCAACTGTCTAGCAATTCCAATTAAAAAAATCCTCATCATATGAAAAGCTATTTTCATCTCTGTTATAGAACACTACCCTTTCCTTTTTAAAAGTTTTTTTTGTTATATTTTTAATAAAAAAGATTATAAATTACAAACTTTACCCATTTTTACATAAATAAACAAGAACAAAGAAGGCTGGACATGGAAGATATGTGATTCCTTAACTAAAACACAGGAGCTATGTGGTTTCTGCTAACAAATGAGATTAGGGACTACACAGAACATCAGAGTTCACATCAAATTGCTTTCTGGAGACAGAAGCAATTTTCCAGTTTGCTTTGGATTTTTAAAGATTTTTCTAAAAAGAGGATAAGAAAGAAAAAAGAAAAGATTAATCTCTCAGTCCAGCTCATATAAACATCCTATCATCCTCCTACTGCTTCCCCAAAGTCAACTTTGTGGAAATCTGCCTGCCCTCACATCCACCGCAGTTGTCTCATATTTGTCCTTAGATGTGGGACTGGATCCAGAGGAAAGATATGACAGTGTTCCTTGTGAACAGAGGCACCGTGTCTCAGCATGGGCCAGCACTTGGCAATTTGTGTTCCAGTGCTGCACTCTCACTTGACTTCACCATGCTCCCATGACCCATTAGTACTCTCTTCTGGCAGCATACACAGAAGCACAGCCAGCAACACATGCACAGAGCAGAACTGGCATACACAGGCATCACAAACACACACAGAGGAGTGTGGCAGCAGACTCAGCAACACTTTCATACCACAAACTCCTTAAGAAATATGTTCCTGTTAGAATATGAGTACCAAATGGAAAAGGAACTTCCAGCACATTAGTGCTCTCTCATGCACCTGGCAAAAAGAAGGTCCCATTAATCAGTTCAAGAACAAAAGAATTTGCTTTTGCATGATGCACCATAAATGCTCAGCAAGTTCTTTCACACTCAACACATAAATCTAAGTCACTGATGATTCTGGAAGTGAGCCCAGGTAAAAACAATTTGGCATGCTAAAGTCCCTAGCACATGCTTGCTTGGGGGAAGGTAATTGTTTCAAGCTTTGTCTGGATCACAGCCAAAAAAGTCATGAGAACATAGTGTTCAACTTTGTGAAGCAGCATTTCCTGCAAGAGCCCACTGCACACCGCCCTCTCACTCAAACACATTCCACAGCGTTCATGCTCCGTCCTACCAACAACTTAACAGTCTGAGCCCAGCAGCAGCTGCTGACAGATTTAACCTCCAGTTAGTCTTTGAGACCAATAATAATGTCACATTTATGCAGCTCCTCTCCTTTCCTCTTCACTGCCCACTCCTCACACTGTTCGCCTCTGCACGTTGCCCAGAGAGACCTAAAGGCAACAGCACATCCTTTGATACCCCACTCTGCTTCCACAGCTCAGCCACAAAAGCACCTCACCACCACTGGCTCCTCCAGCAAAGCCCAGGCAGTGCAGGGACCTCACAGCTGGGCTACAGTGTGAGCTGGCATTACCTTCTCCTTTCCGCTCGAAGAGCAGGGCATTTCCCAGCACAGGATAGCAGGGGCTGGCACCCGGGATGGACTTCAGCATCCGCCATTGCCTCCAGTATTCCATCAGGGAGGGCAGGGAGCACACAGTCACTGTTGTCACAAGCAGAGCAATGATGCCAGCTCCCCATGGCAGCAGCTGGGGTCTCCCTGAGAGTCCTTCCACGACGTCCATCATCAACTCTCAGCCTCCTGCCCTGAGCCTTGATCCCTGCTGCAAAACTGGTGCTGCCTGTACTCGGCACTGCAGAGAAGTTGGCCAGAAGAGCAGGAGGCGGAGCCACCACACAAGCCACTGGCGTAGCTTCTGGCCAAGAAAATAAACAGAGTCGAAAGACACTCTTACGGAGACGCTGCATTCTAGCATTTCCTGGTGGCAGGAAGCCAGAGGCAACAGTCACTTGGTTCGAGCCAAGTGATGAGCGAGAACCTTCTTTGCAGGCCATGCAATACCTCACAAGGAAAAAACAAAGTACCATCAAGAGAAAAAACACCTCTTTGCTGATTTGGGATAGATGAGTTTTCTCAATATCATCTTTCTCAATCTGTTCTCAGGTGCTCAACACCATTTTGCCATAGAGAACTGCTCCAGTGCTGTCCAACATAACTAAAGGGCCAGATGGAGAATACCCTTTTTCAGCTGGTTTGATGGCTTCAAAGGGTTACAAAAACCAAAGCCCATAAAGACCCTGATGAACAGCAGCACCTCAAAGCATACTGATGCTTCTCAGCTCAAATGGCCTTTACTGATCTCATTGTTGAAGCTCAGGCACAGGCTAAAGAGTACCAGTAAAACAACTGGCAGCACCAGCACCCGTGCCCCAACTTGCAAAGTGCCTGGGTACTCACAGTACCAAACCCACCATAAACACTGCTGCCCCTCCTGCCTCAGGAGGATCCAGGGTCTGTTCTCACTGCTGCAGGGCTACTCAGCATCTGTTTCTCAAAGTGGGTGCTCAGAAACCTTTTGGTCAAACAGAATTTTGGTAGAGGCAGCATGGTTCACAGCCAATTCACAAAACTTTACCCTCCAAATAAAGCACAAATGGTATGTGTGTATGGCCATAGTCACATTTATCCTCTTTGCTTTGTACCAAAAATGACTGCACTGACTGCAAAAGCATTTTTAGCAAATCAACAAATAGCATAAACAAAACAACTAAGATAAAAACTAACAGAAAGCTCAGAACATCAGAAGTTAAGTAAGTTTCTGTGACCCTTGGCATCAGAGGAGGGTAAATTTTGGCACTTTGTTCTTGCAATCTCCCAGCAGAGACTTTATCATAAACGCTGACTGCTATATCTTTCTGCACAGTAAACAGCTGGAAATGAACTTTGCTACTCTTGCTGTTATTTGTAATGGCTTGTGACAGAAAGCAGCAGATATATACCCAGTCTTGCAAACACATAGGCAAGTTAGACAACCATCAGTCCCATTTTTTGTACAGGTGACAACTTAGGAAGGAAGCAAGCACACAGGACAAAGAGACTCACCTTTTGTATTTCTAACACAGAGATCAGCTGAATAATTATACTCTCATATTTACAAAAAGTCTTGCAGTTTGTTGCCTTAATTGCACCAATAATTAGATTAAATGACTATCTGTGCTTCTGAGTCAAAAATCTGTACTTCTAACTGCTGATTACTCCTTCTACAGGAAAAACAAAAAAACCCAAACACCAAAAACCAGAAAAACCCCGTGAAACAGCAGGAAGGTGGAAAGGCATTGGGAAAGCAGTAGGGAACACTGCAAAGCAAACATTGCAGCATCCTCCCAGCAGCTGGCATTGGTGATGATGTTAATAAAAACCAGCAGAAACACTGGAATGAGACATAAAAGATATATACCCAACAAACAAGAAATGGGAGGTCTAGCATCTTTGAGGCCTAATTATGTCACCAAGACTTGGAATCATAACAAAACTTGGAGGATGCTCTGCAGATTGTGATCAGCATTTCCTTTTTACCCTGGGAACTATTGTTCAGTGTTGGATTTCTGTGAGCACTCCACTGATTAGTGAATCTTTGCTTTTATAAATCCTTGTAACAGTGCAAACCTGTTCTTCTTCAGCCTCTTGCATAAGTGGAAGACTATCTACCTGTGCTGGCAAAAGACAAGCAACTTGTTAGGCAGCTGTGTCAGCCATGAAACACAATGACAACACAGGCTTCTGCTGGTCCCTAGAATGAAGCTTGGATTCTTCAATAAGAAAAACTAATAAAATCATCATTAGCAACAAGAAAAAAAACCAAAACAAAACAAAAACAAAGCAAAGCAAGTCTAAAGCAGATCTGATACAACAGAGGGGGGTTCCTGCTGGCTCTACTCTGGATCCACTGCAGAACATAGCAGAGCTCAGCAGCCAAGCTGAAGTACAAGCTGAATAGCTCAGCAGCCCAGCTGGACAGAAAAGTACACAACCCATTCTGAAAAACTGGTTTTTTCTTAAGAAAGGCTTTCTTAGCAAGAGCTTCTCTCAAACACACACCATTGCAACATGATTAACCCTTATGCAGAAAGCTACTCTAAAATAAACAGGATATTTGTAGACATCAATAGCCATCACCTAGACAAAGAAAACGTAACACAGTATGTCTCCATTTCAAAATATGTCATCAGCTGGACAGGTGGAGAGCTCAGAGATCTCACCAGTCCTCAGAGAGGAATTTTAGGGCCTGATACTAAATTTCATGTTCAAACAAGGCTACTAAAGGTTCATACCTGAAGTCTAGTCTTCCAAGAACAAATCCTGAGGAAGACTCCAGCTTCAAATCCTTCTGTGGGCACTTTCTCACACAGCTAAAGGATATTAACAGCATTTGTGACACAGACCACAGCTGTTTTTCAGAGACACTGACTGGTTTGATGCCGCCTCCATCAAGCATACCTTGCTTGGTTTCTGCAACCCAGGGTTTACTGTACAGCAGCAACTGTTTGGCTCCTTCACTACAAGACATTTTACATGGATGAATTGTCCGCAACAGAATACAAAAGCCTGCCTGCTAAGAAATCATAATCTTCCCTACCAGGATAAAAATGTGACTTACAATAACAGAGACCACCACTCATGCCCCAGAACACGGGCTACTGTTTCACAGCAATTCTGATAAGGTGGTAGTTGTGTTTGCATAACTAATAGACAACACTAAGTAGCTACCAAAGCACCACACCTGTATTTATCAATGTTTCTAGGAAAGGACACACTCCCAAGCTGGATGATCACAACTCCTCCAAGGTCACAAGTGAAGATTCCGCCCACTTCTTTGTGATTTGGCTAGATTGTACAGGGCCGCCCTTGCTAAACTCCAGCAAGTTTAAAGAAAGCATGTAGCAGCATGCAACACACTACATGAAGTGAGCCAGAAGTCATGAAGAATGAATAAACAGGGCAGTTTAATGCTAGGAAAAACTTGTGGGGCACAGAAGCACAGCACTGCAAATCTGCTACCTGCATTCTTGCAGCATGGAAGATTTGGTATCAGTATTTGCTCTAGGAAGTTCTTTGTCCACATTTCATGTGCATGCACATAACACAGTCATAGCTGTACATCCTCTTAGAAGCTGATGTGGGTTAGCCTTGGCCAGCAGTCAGACCCCCCATTCACTCCCCTCCCTCAACAGGACACAAAAGCTTATGAGCCAAAATAGACTGAAAGATTGCTTATTGGTTACCATCTTGGGCAAAACAGAGCCAAATTTGGAAATTCAATTTAATTTACAGGCAGTTAAAAACAGATAATGAGGAAGCTAAAGCCAAAGACAAAAGTTCCTCTCTGCTGCTCCCTCCTCATTCCTTTCTTGTGCTCCAGCATAGTTTCTCCACATGCTGCTGAGGAATCTCTGCTCTGGAACCTGGACCATTCCTTCCTCCTCCTTCAGAGCTTGGTGTTTGCATTGCTGTTTCCCTCTCTTTTCCCTCCCCACACTTCTCTTCTTAGGTTTTTTTTTTGTACACTTGTAAATACTTTTTCACTGAAGTGCCACTGGTTTGGCTGCTTAGCTCAGCTGTGTCCTGCAGTGGATCCAGAGTGGAGCCAGCAGGAACTGTTCTCCTCTCTAGCCTTTTCTCAGAGAGGCCACCCCAGTAGTAGCCCTGCTAGTGACACCATGACATCTCCACTCAGCTGAAAAGCCTACCATGAAAACAATCACAAGATTGAAAGGAAAAATAGGGGTGAAATATCCTTCACATCAGCCCCTAGTGAAACCGGAAATGTCAGTAACAAAGTGATGGATGCATGAAAACTGTCAACAACATTAAATATTTGGGAACTACACAGGTACTTTTCCTTATAATGTTCAGGGAAGAATCACTCAGGACTAAACTCCTCCAGGTCAGGGAAAATCTCGGTAGGGCACAAGTTATAACAGGAATATTTGTACCATTCAATACTTGAATGGTACAAATATTCACCTAGGAGAAAAGGGAAAGGAAGAAGGATCAAAACAGCAAATAGGTGGCTATCTATAACTGCTTTACCATAAAATAAAAAAGAGAAAAACCCTACCCTTTACCTGGAAAACCTTCTAAGTACTCTCTCCTGCAGACACTGTAGCACCCATTCCAGCCACCTCCGGCTACCTAAAACCCTAGAATGGCCACACGGTGCATTCCTATCTCAATTTCTTCAATCTTGATAAAGGAAGAATGGAAAACTTACCAAACACCTTGTCCCAGTTCTCTGTTCTCTGGGTTTCAGGATTACATCCAAGTAAGCAAAAAGCCATGGCGAGGGTGTGCAGAGATGAAGTTAGAAAAGCAAAACCTCAGCTCAAATGGAAATTTGTGAGATGTCAAAAACTACAAGAGTTCTGCAAGTACTATCATGGCTTAGACCATGACAAAGTACCATGCATACACCCCATCCCAGTGGAACAGAGTAGAGTATCAGGGAAAAAATAAAACCTATGGGTGGAGATAAGAAAAGTTTAATGATTTAAATATAATAAAGTAAAATGAAAACAGGAAAATAAGAGAGAGGAACAAAGCCTAAGAAACACAAGCAATTACACAAAACAATTCCTTACCACCCACTGACCTCAGTTCAGCCCCAAGCAGCAACAGGTCCCTTCCAACCACCCCCCACCCCAGTTCATGTACTGAGCAGGGCCTTCTGTGATATGGAATATCCCTTTGACCAGTTGGGGTCAGCTGTCCTGACCATGCTCTCCCACCACTTCTTGTGGAGCCTCTCACTGGCAGAGCATGGGGCACTGAAAAGTCTTTGCTATTGGGCAGATGCAACTTAGCAAGAACTAAAACATTAGGGTGTAATCAACATTATTCTCATACCAATTTAAAACAGAGCATTGTGCCAGGTATGAAGATGAAAATAAATTCTATGCAAGGTGAAACCAGGATAGGTATGTAAACAAGAGGAAACAGAAGGAAAGTATTTTCCTGATGTTTAAGATGAGAGATTAATTAGTCACCAACAAGGCTGAAAAGGCAGAGGTACTCAACCCTTTCTTCATCCTTGTCCTTCTGTCAGCTCCAGGCCTTGTGAAAAAATTCTGGCTGATGTAAACACAGACCCAGTATCTGTGAAGGAAGGGTTGGTGTGTGAGCTATTAAAGGAGCTTGACCTCTACACATCAATGTGCTCTTGACAATATCCAACCAAGGAAAGTTGGCCAATATAGCTGTGGGGGCACTCTCCATAATTTTTGAGTTGTGGTATTTGGGGGACATCCAAGAAGACTAAAAGAAGGCTAATGTCACTCCTGTCTACAAGGACTTCAGAGAGGACTCAGAAAACTATAGGCCCATCTGTATTACTTCATTCCCTGGGAAACCTATGGAAAAAATTTTCCTGGGCGCTGTTGCAAGTCAAATGGAACCCATGATTAGGAAAAGCCAGCACAGACTGACCAAGGACAAATTTTGCTTGACAAACCTGATTGCCTCTTACAACAAATGAACGTTGTCTACCTGAGTATCTCCAAGGCTTTTGATATGGTTTCCCATGGCCTCCTCCTACAGAAATGTGTATGTGATGGCGTGGATCTGTGATCCATGCAGTGGGCTGGAAACTGGCTGCCCAGCCACACCTGGAGGGTGGTGGGAAATTGCTCCCTCTCACCCTGGCAACTGCCACAAGTGGAGTCCCCCAGGGAACGACAGTGGGCCCAAGGCTGTTTAGTATCTTCATCAGTGGTTGGGATTATGGGATCAACTTCATATACTCAGATGAAGTTTGTCAGTGATACCAACTGAGTGAGGCAGTGGACACTTTGGAAGGGAGAGCCAGCCTGCAGGAAAACCTGGACAGGCTAAAAAATTAGGCTAACAAGAGCCTTATGAAGCTAGTAAGGACAAATATAAGGTCCTGCACATGGAAAAACATAATCCAGGAGAGCAGCACAGGCTGGGGATCTACCTGGCTAAGGAAAAGCTCTATGGACAAGCATCTGAGGGTCCTGGTGGACAAGCAGTTCAGTGTGAGTGAACAGTTTGTTGCTGTAGCAAAGAAAGCCAATACAAGACTTGGCTGCATCAATGCCAGGAGAAATAAAGTAACTATGACATTCTACTCAGTTCTGGTCAGGCCACATCTGAATATTGAGTTCAGTTTTGGTCCCTGCTATACAAAAAAGATGTGGACAGGGTGGAGAAGGTGCAGTAAAGGGCAATAAAGATGACCAAATTACTGGGTAGCCGGTCGCACGAGGAAAGGCTGAGAAAACTGGACTTTTCCAGCTGGGAGAAAATAAGCTTAGGCACACCTTATTACTGTGTTCCTGTATTTAAAGGGTGTCTACTAAGAAGTTGGAGATTCCCTTTTCATAAGGAGTCTTATGGAAAAGTGAGGAGTGATATGTGCAAGTTACGCTTGGGAAGATTCCAACTGGACACAAGACAAAACTTTCCACAAGGAGAATAATCAGCCTTTGGAATAATCTCTCCATTATGTGGCAAGTGGTGGATTCCCCAG